CTCTGCATATATTCATATACCATCTTCCACTGCACCATAAAAATCTTAATGATACTGTTCAATGAGAGATCTCCACAGAAACTCAGTGTGTGTCACTCTGTGGTCATTTTACAAGCAGAGCCTCACCTCTTTATTAAGTGAGGCTTTACTAAAATATGAATTCTGACAATATTAACACTTCATATAACTGAAACACACAAAAAGCTACTTTTACATGCTACTCTCCTGAATGTAGACACACACACACACACACACACACACACACACACACACACACACACAAACACAAACACACTGGTTGCTGGTGATGCTCCAGACAGGAATTTCCTTTAAAAAAAGACCTCAGAAAGTTTAAATGGTATGTTTTCCTTTCAGATTTATAATAACATGGGATGTAAAATGTGGACTGAAGAAAAGATGATGAAATAGTGGGTCAGTTCTCTCCAGGTCTGGTCATAGTTTATGTTCCCTGCAGAAGGGTCTCTGCAGCAGCTGAGAATTAGAAGCTGCAATGAAGGTCCACTCATTGAAGGTTCAATGGACAGAAGGGGAGGGAGACTTCAGCATACACCTCCCCAGACATACCCTCTGCATCTTTGCCTGATACAGCTGGAATCACAGGTACAGCAAGAGCTCACATATACCCCTATCAGATCTTAACTTCCATATGTCTCTCTGCCCCTTGGACCACTAAAATCAGGAAGAGAAGAGGGAGAAAAGCAGAATTTTCCAACTCTCTGGAAATGGTATGTTATACAAACCCTCCTTCTAACACCCACACTCCCCTCACCAAAATTAAATGAGTGGTTAGAATAATATGATACTACATTCAGAAGAACTTTAAGCCAATCCCTAATAATCTGAATGTATCCTGGATTTCCTCCAGATGATAGAACTCTCCAGGGCCATCTATGGGGTTGGCTCCTAGGAGGGAAACCTCTTACCAATCCATAAATAGCTTTTGCCAAGTCCTTGAAAGTCTTGGACCTGGTCTCTTAACTATCTGTGTCTCCCAAAGGAATGGGAGCCTCTTGAGAGTGGTAAAAGCTTCAACTTACTCCCAGTGTAGCTCCTACCAATTAGCTTATGTCTCAATATTTTATTGGCCAGAGTTATGTTCTAGATACTTTAATCAACAGGGGATCACAGTGAAATTTTGTTAATCAAACTCTGGAATAGAATAAATTCTATTCCAGCACATGGTACCATTTGCTAACTCTATATAGTACTTCTATGTATTTATACTTTTTTTTTTTTTTCATTCCAAGGATTCCCAGGTCAAATAAGTTTGGGAAATCCCCTACCAATCTGAATTGTCTGTAGTCCACATTAACATATCAGTTTTGGGCAGTCAGTCCTACTATAAATAAATCTGTTTAACCTTGTACAATATAAGATTTTCAGTCATATCTGGCTTTAGAAAAAGCTTAGAAGACTGCTAGTTGTCTGCAGCAACTAGAACTACGACCACAGGAGATACTCAATATATGTGGAATGAATATATATTCTGAAAAGTTAGAGTTTTTTTTCCTTTGCTCTTTACACTGCCACCACTGCAGTGTTGTCTGGCAGTCAGCTGGAATATGGTATGCATGCCTGCAGTGTGTTCTCAAGAAGGTACAGGAAGGTAGGCAGCATAAAACAGGGAGTGAAGGGTTCAGGTAAATAGTTGCTAAGAAAAAATAATTTAAAAGTTCAAATTGCTGTCTAAGTATATATTACAAGAAATATAAATTTTTGACAACTTGTATTTGTATCTATTATGTATTTACAGCTGTCAGCTATTATTAGCATGACAGTGATTATCTAAATAGTATTTTTATTTTCAAAATGCAGCAGAATTAGATGTTAAATATAGAATCTGGGTGGTAGATAACTGGGTGTTCACAATACAATTTATTCGATTATTTTGCATGTTTAAAAATGCTTATATTTAAACATTGGAAAGATTTAAGTCCCTATGACTCGTCTATTTTGAAATACAATATAACATTATACAGTTTTTTAATGTTCTTTCTTTATTTCAAGTTGAAATATAACATTATACAGTTTTTTATGTTCTTTTTTTTTCAAGTTGAAATAAGTTTTATCCATTTAAGTAATTTTTAAAGCACTTTGATCTAGAAAGCAAGACTACACTTGGATGCTAATGAACCAGAATCAGCCACAGGAAATGACTTTGTACAAATTGTTGCAAAAATGTTGACAAGACAGAGGTAGAATTTAATCACATATGCCCAGCATGTTAATGCTAATTTTTTACAGGGTTGTTATTATGTCCGTTTTACTGATGGGCAAAGGGAGATATAACAACTTCTCTAAAGCTGGGGGCAATTCAATGGCACAGCTGGGATCCTGTGCACCCATCTTAAATCATGAGGGGCAAATGTTCTCTACTCCTCAAGAGGGAAATTCATCTACAAGTAAAAATGGATACATCACTTAATCTAAAGATTGATTGACATTTTTGTTTAAATGAGAGGGATTATATAATTAAAACGTGTGTAAATGAGATGCTATTATGACTTCTTTGATCTATACTTGCAAATAATTCTTCATCCTAAAGCTGATTACCCTGTCAGGATGCACATATGTTTTAAACAAACAGTGCTTCTCCTTTTTTAATCTTACTGATTGTTGACTTTAACTTTGGCAACAAATTAATTTTAATCATAAGTCTCTGGAATAACGTCATTTTAATACATTTAAAATTGCAAGAAACAGCAATATTCCTTTAAGTAGAGAGCTGCAAACTATGAGTGCTTAGTTATTTACGGTATCTTTTTACAAACTGAGACTTTTTCAGTACACATAAATGAGAACTATAAAATGCTTCTTACATCATCAACATGTGTTACTATTAGAACCCCAGGAGAATCCTTAATGCACAAAATCCACTTGTCTTGTGGAGCAAATCCAGTCTTAGATGTCAAGGAGACTGTCTGAACTGTGAGAATGTATGTGTGTATGTATATGAGTGCGCCAGTGGGCACTCATGCGTATGCGTGTGTGTGTGTGTGTGTGTGTGTGTGTGTGTGGCCATGGAAAGTAACAATTTCACATTTTTAGTAAAAGGCCTGAGTATCTTAATCTTGTCTGGACATTTTGGCCACTGTTTTTGAAATATTTGCGACAAAAATGTTTATAAATATTTTTATTTTATATGAATTCAAATATGGGTGTTTTGTTTAAGATTTGAGCCAAACCCACTAGTAGTGCTAGACTTGTCCTTGGGGAGTGAGACTCTACCAGAGTCACTAGTTCACAAGATATTTTCTTATTACTTATGTACCTATTCTATAGTCCTTTTTAGAAATTTTTTGGTCTCATTTAAAAATGTCATTTCCCTTCCCAATCACAAAGTTTTATATGTGTTCATTTCAAAGATATGGGAAAAATAGAAACCATAAAGAAAAACAATAACCAGTAATGAATACTACCACCAGGCTGGCATGACATCTCAGCTCCAATACAAACTTCTTTTTTTTTTTTTTTGCCCAAGTGCAAATAAAATAGAATAGAATTTAATATATTTGATCCCTAAATCAGGAAAAGTGTTTTCATATACTTTCCATGTATTTCTAAGTATATGCAAATTGCTAAGATGCTACACATCAATATATCACCGAGAAAATATCTATTTTTACAAAATTTCCCTTGTGTTTTTTAGTAGGAAAGGCCATTAAAGTTAGATAAGAATAATGTTATCTTCTTTTACCCTTATCTCCATTCTCCCACCTTCATAATTTTTAATAGTGTGGACCTATGCATTTTTTATATAGTTCTCTTAAAATATATCTATTTTATATATAAGTACTGCTTCTTTGTAATAATAGAAGTTCATATTTAAAGGATCAAAATGTTGCACTATCTGAAATTTAAATCAGAGCTAATTTTTCCATCCATAATAAAAATTAGTATTAGGTATTCAGGAACATACTTATTTTTAGTTGTTATAAAAAAATAAAAACACAGGTGAAGCTAATCTGTTAGCAAATGAGTTACTTATTCTCTTTCTTTTATAAATGTTCAAGTTTCTTTTTGAATCACATCATTGCACAAGGATGCCATACCTAGTTTCTCAGAAATCCTATAAGACAGAGAGCCACAGGAGCATAGGAGATCTGTGAGCACCTGAATGATGAAGACAGATGACTCTAGGGAAAAGGACAATGTTGCTATTCTGCTCATTCATGTCTGGCCACATGTCTGGAGATTTCAAAGCATACTAATTAGGGCAAAGGAAAAGGTAACCATTTGTTTACAGAACAGAAAAATCATACTACTCATGCACATAACCCTGGTAACCAAAACCCAAATGTAACTTGTGTAGGAATCCCAAGAGTGAACCTGAAAAATTTCCCTTTAAGTATATCTATTATTCAGCAGTAGTATCATTGAGCATCTCTATTTGATAGACAAGGATCATTGGTGGTAGCAAGAAGTGTGCAGAGACAAGGCCAGTCTCCTCAGCAGCAGAAACCAAAGTTCCATAAGACAATTACTATCACAGGGATTTCAAAGAATAATGTAGATCTAAAGGTCTTAGATTATAAAAATTGAGATTGGTTATTATTTCTTAAAAATATGAGAACAAATATTTTATATCCAAAAAATTCTTTCACGGTAGGTTTTGTGTGTATTGGATAGGAAAGACAGAAGGTGAAACAACGTGGGTAGGGATCAAAGCTTTAGAAAGAAGAAAAACCAACACTGTAACATTTTTTCCCCCTCTGTCTAACCATCCATCATCCAAAGTACTACCAGCTCCTTTGTTTTAACTAATTAAAATAAGAATTTTGAAAGATTTCCTCATTCAAATAGCATTCAGTGTAAGCACTCCTGAACTAACAAGCCTTCAATTGAAAATATGAGTTTAAACATAAGTGTATTAGCAAAAGTCTGTATGCCACCACCTAGAGCTCATGCTTTTTCACCACATGCCTTTAAAACATCAACCCATATGGGTCTTTGTAAGAATATAATGAGTTAGTTCCTACCTCTACATAGTCCTTGGCATGGCCCCAATCTCGTTTGGCATCCAGATTTCCCAAACTGAAACATTCCAGTTGTCCAAGGTAAATCTTAGCTACTGATCGGCTAATTTTTCGAGTAACAAAATTAGCTCCTAAAAAGAGACAAAAGATGTATTATCAGTGAAGTACATTTGACATGTAACAGTTTAGTGAACCAAACACAGCATCAGCCTCTGGGCATTTCTTTCAAGGGCATTTCTTTCAATCCCCCACCCCCAACCCCTATCCTGCTTAAAATAATAAAAGAAAAGAAAAAGAAAAAAGATCACTAACTGTCATTTAGACAAGTTAAAAAGGTCTAATTCTAAGTGTCACATCAGCTCTACTTTCATAACAAACATTTTTTCTTTAGGGGACATCTTAACATTCCTAATTTGCTGCTTCAATATGCAAGCCAGGCATTAGGCCAAAGAAAAGCTATTGGAATGCCAGTTTTTAAACAAAAAATTCTAACGGGTTGTATAAAGGGAAATGCCAGAATGGAAGACAGACATCTAAGACCACCCTGATTTTTTTTTTTTAAGAACACAAACATCATATATTCCTATTACTAAGGCTATTTTGGGGCCCATGGGAAGAGGGGGGGAAAGTAACTTAGTTCACAGAGTATAACTAGTGAAAGGAAACCAAAAAGAAAATTTATTTGGGCTGCCTTTCTCTTAACAAAATAAGTGGTGATCGCTCTTATTCAGAAACCTGCACAGCCACACAAATATCAAGAATGACATGATTCCAAGTCAAAAGTTTCTCTACACCATACTTTGTGCAATGCCATTTTCCAACTTCATGTAAATGTTATCTACAGAAATGGCCTCCTGAGTTTTGTAGAAATGTTTTTAAATGATTGGATGAAAGGCAGTATAAACTGAAGAAAAAAACAAATTATTTTAATGTTCTCTGGTTTTTTAATGAAAATCTCTATTTACTTTTAGTTTGTTTTATTCTTTTTCTCACTTTTTTCTCTTAAGAGATAGGGTCTTACTTTATTCCCCAGGCCGGTCTCCTGCCTCAAACTCCTGAGTAGCAGGAACTACAGACATACCTCCATGCCCAGCTTCTATCTCCTTTTAAGAAATTACGAAGAAGGATAAAATTAAAAGGCTCCACTAAGGCAATTTTATCTGCACCTCTGTATTTAGGTAACATTACCAGAGAACACCATTTCATGCCAGATTCTCAAGATAATAATACACATGTGCACTACTATGGCTTCATATGGTTCAGAAACATTGATATCATAACTTATCACATATCAATAGCTTTACCTTTGTTCTTCTATGAATGAAGAAGGGAAGCAAATATGATGAAAGGTTTTGGCTTCTATTAAAACTGGCATAGGAATAAGGGGAATATTTCTAAGTAGGTTTTCTAAATTTTGGCAAGAATGTGGGCTATCACAGGTTCAAACACATACTAAATTCATTCCACCAACTTGATATATACATTTATACAAATATCATTAAAGAAACCAATTGTACTGCTGTGGGAATTCAAATATTCAACTCACAAGGCACATTAAAAAAACTGGAGTTTAAACTTTCCATAGAAAAGTTTGTAAAACATACAGAGGCCCTTCAGTCTTTCGAAATGAAGATATATTTTGGGATCAAAAGTTCAAAGCCTTAGCAACTTGCAAGGCACTAAACAACTTAGACTTTTTTCCAAAAAGGAAGGGGGTGGAGTGATGTAGATTAGTGATGTAGATTGGGGATGTAGATTAGTGCCCCTGGGTTCAATCCCCAGTACCCAAAGTGGGTTAAAAAAGGATATATTTATTGGCTACAATTCCTCTAAGTATATTACTAATTAGTAAACTTTCCATTAACTTTTAAAAATTAACTTTATAATTGAATTTACATATTCTGATGTCTGTTTTTACTTTAATGTCAGGACTGAACTATCATTCTAAAGTATGCCAGGTAAACCAGTGATGCCAAATTATTATTAGACCAACATAAACAGTTCAGATTTTTCTAGTTAGCAGGAAAGCAATGCTTAGGAGTCTAATGGAAACATTTGATCTTGTTTTATTAATTTATTCTTTCAGCCAGTATTACCTGAGTACTACATGGCACAAGCTGAACATTTGAAAGAGAAAAGGCAGCCCCTGCTATCAGGCAGCAGAGAGGAGAAGATGGACCAATAAACCCAGGCTGACCTATTTATAGATGTGTCTATTGGGATACTTCATATAAATGGAATTATATAATACCTGGTCTTCTGGGACTAGAATCTTTCACTTTGTGTGGAGTTTTTCAGGGTTCATCCATGTTATAGCTTCAATTGGTACATCATTCTGAGATCAGGAGGTAGAGAAAAGTCCAGGCAGTCAGAGAATTGGGCACCTGGAGGGGCCTTCCATGATCAGCAGGAAAAAAACCCCAAACTGTTGCTAAGGAGTTTGTGAATATCTTACCTAAAAAAGGCATGCATGCTATGGAGCCCACAGCCTCTCCAAAAAAGGGAATAACCTGTGATCAACATCTTGATTGGACATGGGACCACATGGATATCTTGTGGACACTGGGTGTCTTACCCAGAATTAGACTWGAGCATGACTTCCTCTTATTATAACCAATGAGTATAAAACGTTACCCCTAGCAGACATTTATAAACTCCTAAACAGGACTGGCCCACTAGCAACCCTCTTGGTACCCCTCCCAAGGGGGTTATTTTGCTTTGCTTCAATAAATTCCTAGACTTTGCTTTCAACTTCTGTTGTCCATGAATCTCATTCTTCAGGTTTCTACCAGATGCCATGCTCCATGTTACAATTCCTTTTTTTATAGCAAAATAATATCCTCTTATATGGAAAAATGCATTTTATTTACCCACATATCAGTTGAAGACCTGGTTGTTTTCATCTTTCCACTGATGAAAAATGCTTCTATGAACATTTGAATACAAGTACTTGTGTGGACACATTTTAATTTATTTGAGGTATATAGGGGTGGAATTACTGGGTCACATAGCGAGTCTCTATTTAACCTACTAAGCAACTGTAAACTGTATTCCAAAGTAGATGGAGCACTTCATATTCCCACCAGCAGAGCAAYAGGGTAGTGATTTCTCTAATTCCTCTCCAGCATGTTAAGGTCTTTTCTATCACAACTACCCTAGTGGGTACTTAGTGGTATTTCACGTGGTTTTGATTCACATTTCTCTGATCACTAATGACATCAAGCAACTATCTTTTAATATGCTTACTGGACTTTTGTACATTTTCTTTGGGGAAATGTCTACTCAGATCGTTTGCCTACTTTTTTTTTTTTCTAAACAGGGTTGTCTTAAGTCTTTTAAGAGTTTTTACATACGCCAGATTCAAGTCTCTTATCAAATGTAATTCCCCAATATTTGCTCTCATTCTGCAGTTGTCTTTTCACTTTCTTAACAATGCCCTTCGAAACACAAAAATAATTTTAATTTTGATAAAGCCCAATTGGCCTATTTTGGTTTTGTTACATGTGTTCTTGGTGTCATACTCACAGCTTTGTCTAATCTAAGGTCATGTGGATTTACTCCTGTATTTTCTTTTAAAAATTTTACAGCTTTTGTTCTTATATCTGGGTCTTAGATCCATTTTTAGTTAATTTTTGTACACTGTGATGAAAGGGTCCAGCTTATACATTTGCATGAAGAAATCCAGCTGACCTGGCACTATGTGTTGAAAAGGTTACCTTTTCATCACAGAATTTTCTTGGCACTTTTATGAAGAATCAGTCATAAATGTGAATGCTTATTTCAACTCTAGTTCATTAATCTCTATGTTCATCCTTATTCAGAGTCTTTACTATTGTAGTTTTCTGGTAAATTTTAAAATCAGAAAGTATGAATTTTCCAACTTATTTATTTATTTATTTATTTATTTATTTTGGTGCTGGGGATTGACCCATGGCCTTGTGTGGGAAGGCATGCACTCTACCAACTGAGCTATATCCCCAGGTCCCCAACTTTCAACTTTTTAAAGATTATCTTGGCTATTCTCACTCAATGAATTTCCAAATAAATCTTAGGATCAGCCTTTTGATTTCTGCCAAAATGCCAACTGAGATTTTGATAGGGATTTTAGTAAGTCAATATTTTGGAGAGTGTTTCCATTCTAACAATCTTATGCCATCCAGTCCATGAACGCAGGACTTTGTAAATGTGTCTCAACAATGTTTAATAGTGTCCAAAGAAAAAATTTTGTACTTTTTTTTGAGGGGAGATATTAGGGATTGAACTCAAGGGCACTCAACCATTGAGCCACATCTCCAGCCCTATTTTGTATGTTATTTAGAGACAGGGTCTCACTGAGTTGCTTAGTGCCTCACCTTTGCTGGGGCTGGCTTTGAACTTGTGATCCTATTGTCTCAGCCTCCCTAGCTGCTGGGATTACAGGCATTCACCACCATACCCGGCTGTACTTCTTTTGTTTAATTTGATCCTTAATACTTTATTTGTTTTAATATTATAGCAAATAAAGTAGTATTCTTAACTTCAGTTTTAGATTAATTTTAAATAATATTTTTGCAATCATATGTTTCACCAATTAATTCTTAGATGAGGCTTAAAAATCTACTCTCCTTAGGGTAGAAGATGGGAACCTGGGAGACAGAGGAAGGAAGGGAAAGGGGAAAGACTTGGTGAATGAAATTGACCAAATTATGTTGTATGCATGTATGAATATCTAACAACAAACCCCACTAATATGTATCATTGTAATGAAGCAATATTTTTTTTTAAATTTCCTCTTCTCGTTTTTTATTACTTATCACACAGGACTGATGTTTTTAGAAGAGAACTATATTAAGTAACAGAACATGAGGGCTGAGACCTCAGAGTTCACTTTTCCCAACCATCCCAAATATGCAAATGAAGGCGGAAAGGCAGGACAGGTATCAGCACATGTTCTGAGTCTGTCTCCAGCCCTGTGCTGCTTTCAATGACCCACAGAGAAAAGCAGGATGTACCCCCTTCCTGTGAGATGGCTCCAGTGGTTATAAATTATCACATATGTGGATAATGAAGCCATTGTACTTGTTTTAAATACATACCTTATTTCTAATAGCCTTAATTTAGAAATCCCTACCTAGGAAAAATATCAAGAAAA